TCGTACCTCAGTGGCGCTAGACAGGCAGCTGCAAAGCCGAGCGGACTCACAGGCGCTGATTCCAGAGGCGTTCCCCCTTCCGGCCGCTTTCCACTCTCACCCTCCGTCAAAGGCGTTGGGTTGGTATCATTCAATTCACTGCCCGGGTTATTTTTCAGTGGACTCAATGTATTTTAATTAGCTCCCGATTCAAAAAGTAATTTGGCCTTCAAGCACTGAAGTATCCCTTTTTTTTTTTTCCCTTTATTTTATTTTATTTTTTTTAAATGAAGTATCCCTTTAAAAAGGGGTGTGTTGGGCTGGAGCGATAGCACCTTAGGTATGGCTTTGCCTTGCAAACGTGGCCGACCCGGGTTCGATTCCCAGTATCCCGTATGGTACCCCGAGTACTGCCCAGGTGTAATTCCTGAGTGCAGAGTCAGGAGTAACCCGTGTGCATTGCTGGGTGTGACCCAAAAAGGAAAAAAAACAAAAGGTGTGTGTGTGTGTGTGTGTGTGTGTGTGAGAGAGAGAGAGAGAGAGAGAGAGAGAGAGAGAGATTACATAACTGTATAAGATCGCTAACTTGTTTTCACCAGTGGCAAGGTTTCCAATTCCGAGATAAGGATAGGGAAAGCAAGAAGGAATGCATGTGTTTAAACATGGTTCTGCGGGGTGGGGGGCTGGAGCGATAGCACAGCGGGGAGGGCGTTTGCCTTGCACGCGGCCGACCCGGGTTCGATTCCCAGCATCCCATATGGTTCCCTGAGCACCGCCAGGAGTAACTCCTGAGTGCAGAGCCAGGAGGAACCCCTGTGCATCGCCAGGTGTGACCCAAAAAGCAAAAAAAAATGGTTCTGCGGGGATGGCTCTTGGTTCAGAGCTGGCCCCGAGGGAGAGGGCCACCTGCTGCCAGAACTTCCCACCGGTGGGCTCAGACTCCCGCCTAGACCCCTCCCACTTCCCATCTGAACCAGAGAAGTGTGTTTCGCTGACTCGACTTCCGTCACCAACCTCCGAAAAAGGCTTCAGGTGGCTTGGATGCGGTCTCCCCAGTCTACCGAGAGCCCTTTAAAGAGGCCCTGCTGCTTGCAAAGGTCTTTTCAGCCGGAGAAAGGACGGTGTGAAATGTGACTGACTGGCTTTTACTACAGCAGTCATGGCCACGGGGCCACCGCGGCTTTGCAAACGACCAAAGGGTCCGCTCGGAGCTGGTGGCGCCGTACACACACACACACACACACACACACACACACACACACACACGGCCACGGGGCCGCCGCGGCTTTGCAAACGACCAAAGGGTCCGCTCGGAGCTGGTGGCGCCGTACACACACACACACACACACACACACACACACACACACACGCCTGTTTACTCCACTGCCTCTCCCGTCCGCTGGGAATCGTGTTATTCTCGGAGACAAGCCCATCGATCATTCGGCTCCTCCATCAGCTTGTGGGAAAACCGGAGTAAGGCAGACCGGCCTCGGCGCCAACTTCAAAGCCAGTCGACTTCCTTGTTGTTGATTCCATCGGAGTCTAACCAGAGTCTCTGGGCGCAGAAACACAACAGCCAGGGCTGGCGCGATGGCACGGCAGACGGGCTCTTGCCTCGCATGTGGCCCACCCGGGTGGCACCCGCAGCACCTCGTAGGATCCCCTGAGCCCCGCCAGGAGAGACCCCTGAGTGCAGAGCCAGGACTAAGCCTGGAACACCCCTGGGTTTCACCCAGAAGCAAAAAAAAAAAAAAAAAAAACCAAACAACTAAATCAAACACCTCCGGACTACCTAGAACACTTGCATGCAAATCAGAACCCAGTGTTCCCGTCCCCTGCACAAAAGTGCTTAGGTGAAGCCTTTATTAGCTTGTTGATACAAGTTAGAGTTGGTTACACCCTCTCTCCTTATTGTCTTCTGTTGCTTAAGAGCTTTAAACCAGGAATGCTTCGCCTCTTCCTTAGTGCAGAAGGGTTCTCGGTTTAAATCCTGGCGTTTTCCAGCGAACGGGATGCTAGTCACACGCTGCTGATCCCCCGTTCGCGGTTCTGCGCCAAGAGGTGCTCTGGGGGCCAGTGGGTTCCAGCCCTGGCCTCATGGGTGTGGTCCGGGGGTATCCTGGGTTTCACGTATGTTCTCGGAGGAAGATCGCATGCAGGAGCCCCCACGGTCTAAATTTCCCAGGGTCTGTGGTTTCATTCGGTGAGTTGCAATGGAAAAGTGAGAAGTGATTGTCTTTGGGTTACTTACGGATTTCTTCCCAGGTTGGCCAGGGGAATTTCGGTTTAGGCTGTGCTCTAAATCTGGTTTTGATCTTTATGGACCGAATAAAGGAAGAGGTTTCCACCGCTCCCCTCTTCCGTGTCCCCCATCCCCAGCTTTCATTTATTTTATTTTATTTTTTATTTATTTATTTATTTGCTTTTTTGGGTCACACCCAGCGATGCACAGGGGTTCCTCCTGGCTCTGCACTCAGGAGTTACTCCTGGCGGTGCTCAAGGGACCATATGGGATGCTGGGAATCGAACCCGGGTCGGCCGCGTGCGAGGCAGACGCCCTACCCCCTGTGCTATCTCTCCAGCCACGCTTTCATTTATTTTAATCTAGAAGTTGCAGTGAGTCTTCTGAATGGAAAACAACATAATCTTTTGGATAGTATTTTAATTTTTTTGCTTTTTTTTTTCGGGGGGGGGGGCGTCACACCTGGCGATGCTCAGGGGTTGCTCCTGGCTTTGCACTCAGGAATTACTCCTGGCAGTGCTCAGGGGACCCTATGGGATGCTGGGAATCAAACCCGGGTTGGTCGCGTGCAAGGCAAACGCCCTACCCGCTGTGCTATCGCTCCAGCCCCTTAATTTTTTTTTAATCTTCCATTTTTTATTTTTGTTTTGGGGGCCACATTCGGCAGTGCTCAGGGTTTACTCTTGGCTCTGTGCTCATGGTTCAGTGCTAGTGAGGCTCAGGAAACCTTAGGGGTGCCGGGGATCAAACCCCAGTTGGCTGCGTGCAGGGAGAGTGCCCTTCCTGCTGTACTCTCTCCAGCCCCTGGATAGGATTCTTGATCTTTAATTTTTAATAATAACTTGAGTCCTCCTGGAGGTGGTGTGTTTATATGGCTTTAGGGCACTGCATGACGGGTAGTTCTCCTGACTTGAAAGGGTACGTAAGTGACACAGGCCTTAATGGACTGAATTTGAGCCTGTGGAGACTCAGGCAAAGAAAATGAGATCTTGGGGCTGGAGAGAGAGCACAGCGGGGAGGGAGTTTGCCTTGCACGTGGCCAACCCGGGTTCGATTCCCAGCATCCCATATGGTCCCTTGAGCACCGCCAGGGGTGATTCCTGAGTGCAGAGCCAGGAGGAACCCCTGCGCATCGCCAGGTGTGACCCAAAAAGCAAAAAAAAAAAAAAAAAAAAGAAAATGAGATCTCGGGGCTGGAGCGAGAGCATAGAGGGGAGGCCTCTTTTTGCCTTGCATGCGGCCAACCCTGGTTTGATCCCCGCATCCCACGTGATCCCCCAGCACTGCCAGGAGTGCTTCCTGCATGCAGAACCAGGAGTAAGCCCTGAGCACCACCCGGTGTCACCCCCCCAAAAAAAAAAAAAAAACAAGAAAAGAAAATGAGATCCATATTCATTGTTCAGCGGCACAGTTTCCAGTCTGCTACTGTCCACTCTCACGCCTTAGAACTAGGGCTGCTTTGGGCCTGGGCAAGGGTGTCCCAGCCAACGGGTCTGCCATATCCACAACCTTTGGAATTTCGTGAGACTAAAATCATCCTGGAAGCAACAAGAATAATGGCGGCAGTAATAGCTTCCAGGCCCAGGACCCCTGCATCTTGTTTTTGAGTTGACCCGCTGAACTCAGAACTGCAGGAACAGCCGGTGTGTCTGCCAGCAGGAGGCACTCCGGGACCCTCTAACCGCTTCTTCCCTGGTTGGGGTGTTCTGAGGAGCCCGAGGTCTTCGTTCACCATGGTGGGGCTCGGTCCTGGGTCCTTGGTGGTCCTCGGTCCCAGGTTTCAAGCCGCGCGTGACAGGTCAGGATCGCAGGGTTGTCCTATCCTCCACCTTCAGGCTTCGATGCGCCTGTCCGACACCTCCAGGAGCTCCATCCTTGCCCTGGGTTGCTGCAGGTGTGGATGGAGATACCAGCTCAGGAGTTTTCTGGAAAAGCAAGGTGGGGTTAGGGCTGGAGAGACAGCACTTGCCCACCCAAGGCCCATCCCGGCACCAGATGTGGCCCCCAAGCACTGGCGTGGCCCCAACGCTCCAACCCACCCACCCACCCCCCACCACACACAGAACCCAACGGGTGCAGGGTGGGGGACATAGCACTCCGGGATGCAACGACCCCCCCTCCACCCGGCGCATACCAGCCCCTCAAGAAGTTAATTGTTCATTTACGTTTGATACAGAGCCTGAAACATCGGATTGGAATCAATTAAATGTTCCTAGAAGCCGAGGGAAAAGTTTTCCTGATTTATGAATAGCTCCATTGAAACGGAGAGACGATCCAGGTCAAGGAACGAGGGGGGCTGTTTTGTGGGCAAAGGAGGAGACAACAGGCAGAGGGAGTCCTTTACAAACACAGAAAAAAACGGAGACCCTTCTTAAAAAAAAAAAAATCCCAAACCCACAACTTGATGGCTAGAAGGTCAGCAAAAAAAAAAAAAAAAAAAAAAAAAAACCAAAAAACGACAAAAAACCCAAACCCAGCCATCCGCGGGTGGGCCGGGGGACGCGGGGTCGCGGCTTCCCTGCCCAGGTGAGCCCCGGGGAAACGGGGGTCCCTGCCCGCCTGCGGCCGCCCCCTAACCCCCTTCCCCCCGCGTGCGCCCCGGGCCCCAGGGCGACCCCCGGAGCCCCGCGCGGCTTGGAGAGCGGCCCGGGGGCCGGGTGCGCGCGGCGGGGCGGGGGCCGCGGGGCGTGGGCGCGGGGCCGCGGGGCGCGGGTTCCCCCGGCCGGCGCCGCCCCCCGCAACTCCCCGCCCACCGGCGGCTGCGCGCGCCGCGCCCGGCCCGGCCGCACACGCAGCGCGCTCGGGCTGCCCAGGGCGGCGGGCGGCGGCCCGGCCGGGGCTGCGGGCGGCGGCGCAGGAAGTGACAACGCCGGAGCCGCGCACGGTAAGCTCGGGGGTCCCGCCGCCCCCGCGCCCCCCGCGCCCCCCGCGCCCGCCCCGCGCGCGCCGCGCTTTTGTCCGCGGGCGTTCGCGCCCCGGCCCGGGATGCGCGCGCGCGCGGCGCCCCCCACCCCCAAACCCAGCCCGGCCGCTGTCCCTCCCCCCACCCAGCCCACCCCCGGCCGAGGGGCTCGCGGGCTGGGCGGGGGGCGGCCGGCCGGGCGGCCCGGCGTGGGCGAGTCACATTGTCGCCGGCTCCGGGCTGGCCGCCCGCTGGGGGGACTCGGCCGCTGCGCCCGGAGCCGGGCTGGGTCCCCGGGGTGCTGCGTCCCCCCCACACCGCTCCCCGTCCTGGCCCCTCGCGCGGGCACCCCCGTCCGTCCGTCCGTCCCGGCGCCCCCTCTGCACGCACGCCGTGGGGGTGGGGGGCACAATGCAAGGGGCGCGGACCCCCCGGCGCCCCCCACCCCGAGGCCCGGCGCCCCTCGCCCGCGCGCCCGGGCACCGGCGCGTCCCGAGCTCGCCGGCGCCGCGAACAAAGAGCGCTCGGCGGCGCCGATGAATGGGCTTGTGCCTCCTACAGGCCACGCCGCGCGGCCCCGGACCGCGGCCCGGTGGGCCCCCGCCCCCCGCCCCCGCCCCCGCGCCGCGCCCCCCGGCCCGGGGCCGCGCGCCCCGCAGCAGCGGCGGGCGCCGGCGTTGGGGTAGCTGCAGGGTGGGCGCGGGGGGCTGCGGCCCCCTGAGGCCCGGGAGCCGGGACGCATTGTTTCTGGGCCAGGGAAGCCTGGTTCCGACCCGGCCCGCACACACCACCAGGTCTGGGCCGGCTGGCGGAGGGCTCCCACCCAAGGCCGGCTCCCCGTCCGGGGGTCCCGGTTTTGAGCATTGGGACGGGAGGGGGTGAGCGGAGAGGAGGAATCAAGGGTCCCTGAGCCGGCCGTGGGGGGTTTTGTTCCTTGGAGGTTCATCCCTCGGGGTACCGGGCTCACCCTGGTGGGATGCTGCGGCCCCAGGGGTGCTGGGCTGGGCCCCCCCCTAGTGGGGACGGAGCCACGGAGAACCTAACCGCCTCTTGACCCCGTGCCCAGTTGGTGGGAGATTGGTCGGGGCTGGTGACCTTTAACCCCTGCTCTGCCTGCCCTTGGCCTGGGGGCCCCTGACCCAGGAGGGAGCTGGGCCGCCCTCAGGGTGCGTCCTGTTCTCTAGTCCGGAAAACTGAAGCACCTCCGGGAAAACATGCAGTCTTCTTCCAGGTGCCCTGTCCGGAGTACAAGGTGGTTTTATTTGCTTTTGATTTGGGGGCTTGGCTGCAGGTGGCTCTCCAGTGCTCCCCTGGCCGTGCTCGGTGGACCACGTGGGTGGTGGTTGGTGGTGGTGGTGTCTCGGCTCCAGCAAGCCCATTTTAAGGCGAAGGATTTCTGTTCGTTTGGGGCCACACCTGGCTGTGCCCAGGGGGCCGTCTGCAGTGGCAGGAACCAAACCTGGGTCAGCGCCCTGCAAGACGGGCGCCTGCCCCACTGCGCCGCTCTGTCTGCCCCAGACTCAGGGGGTGTCCTGGACGGACAGTCCTGCTCCTGCTCAAGGCACTCTTGCAGATCAGCCTGCAGTGCTCAAGGTTCCCAGGCCGGCGGGACCAGTGAAGCCCCCCTGCTTGGCTTGGACTGGCCCCGTCTTCCGGGCTGGTTTCAACTTTGAGAACTGCAGCAGCCCTGAAGGGACGCTGGGATGGGGGTTTCTGCTACCTTGGGATCTCCGAGTTCCCGGGCAGGGAAGCCCCCTGGTTACAGCCGAAGTTGCTTTCTTCCCATCCTCCCAGCCCCGCAGGGAAGAAGCCCAGTGACCTGTGATTGGACCCGGGGGCAGCACCCGACCCGTGTGAGAGTTGAGGAGAGACCAGCTAGGGTTGCATCCCTTGCAGGGCCTGGTGCCGAGACTCCTGGGGGGTGGGGGTGGGGGCGCGTGTGCAGGCATCTCCCCCACACTGGGGCCTGGGAATGGGGGGACGGTGGGCGAGTCCCGGCCAGCCTGGCCCGGCCCTCAACGGCTCTTCCGACTGGGACTTCTGAATCCTGTGCTGGGTGGAGAAAACGTCTCTGTTCTTGCTCTTGAAAGAAAAAGAAAGTGAAATAGCCCAGGTCAGCGCCAGCCCCACCTCGGCTCCGCGGGCGCACACCTCTCTGATGTGTAATAAAAGAAGCCTGCAGGCATAATTTGTTATGTAATATGCTGATAATACAAGTTTCAGTTGTGGATGGAAAACACATGTGCCGGGTGCGGGCGCGAGATCCCCTTGGCCCCCGCCGGCTGGCCGGCCAGCCGGCCCCCGGGGGGCTACGGGATGCTACGGGGCTTTCCCAGGTTGGCCTTGAGGGGAGGATCCCCGAAGGGTGCGTTTTTCCAAGCGGCTGCCCGGAGGCTGCGTGCCTGGCCACAGCTGTCGGTTTTGTCAGGGCCTCTCTTGAAAGGACCCGTTTCTTGCCAGCGCGCCGCACATGGCCAGGCTGGAGTGCCCCCAGTGGCCTCTCTGCCGGGTCCCCCTCTCCTGCCAGCCCGGCCCAGGGCCCCGGGGCGCGCTCACCGCCCTGCGGAACCCTCTGATCAGCCTGGGCGAGAGGCTGTTCCAACTTGCCCAGAGAACACACTTTCCCAAAGCCCTGGACGCTCCCCTGATGAATTTCTGCGTGTGTTTCCTGCCCGGCTGGATGAGGTCTCCCTCCTCGACTGAGTCACCTTCGTGACGATTACCAAGGTCGGGGACCGCACGGTAATCGCTGACCCCGTTTAACAGCGGTCGCGTTGCGTGTTGCGGTGTGACCTTTGGAAGGGAACCCGGAGGCTCAGCGATGCTGACGGCCCCAGACTCAAGAGAACGTTTCTCGTTCCCGCGCTGTCCGCCGACCGGTCTAGATTCAGAGCGAGTTCTGGTTCCCGAGGGTTCTTGATTCTGACCAGGCATTGTCTCAGCTTTGTTTGAAGGTAACTTCTCTGATGTTTGATCCGAACGTCCTGGGCACGGGATTTGGGATCGGGGTTCGGGTATGGTAAAAAAAAATAAAAAGCAGGTGCTTGATGACTCGGTGAGCCGGGGCAGGGGACAGCCCGTTTCTCTCTTTAGAGATGGGGAGGTCGAGTGAGCAGCAGAGCCCACGGGAGCCAGGCGGGGAGAATCTCCCAGAGGGAACCAGGAGGCCTCAGGCCCCCTGCCAGGGCAGGGTCCCTGCCCCCCGCCCCCCGCGGGGGACCCCCTTTCAGCAGCCGCTGGAGATCCTTGAGCTCTTTGGAAAGAGCGCCTGCCTCCTGCTCCGTGGCCAGGGCTGCCTCTTTTTTCTCGCTGTTAAATGCGGGTTGATTGAGAGGGGACGTGCTGACGGGTGGGTCTGAAAGGGGCCTTAGGAAGCCCAGAAAATAAAAACACATTTGAAGGACTCGGAAGGATTTTGCATTTCAAAGGGTCCACCTTGTCGAATTTCACATCACGTCAGGGTTTACGGGGGACTGTGACAGCGGCCTGTGACAGACACTCCGCTTCTCTCTAACGGTTCTGCTCGCCGGCTGCCTCCTCCCGGGGGGAGGGGCTGTCCCTGGGGGCGCTGAGGGGCGTCTGGGTCCCCCTCACCCCCCTCCCCGGAGGCCCCTTTTCCACTGCGCTGCTCTCTGGAGGGAGGAAGCCAAGCGTGTTGGTAAACAGCTTGTTATTTTATTTCATTTTACTTTTATTAAATCAGAGCTAGATACATAGTTGCAGAGTTGTTCGCGATGGGATCTCAGTCCTATCGTTCCAACGCCCGTCCCTGTCCCTGCGTCAGCCAACGGGCATTTTCCACCACCAGTGTCCTCAGTTTCCCTCCTTCCACCCCGACCTGCCTCTAGGGCAGACACTTCTCTCTCTCTCTCTCTCTCTCTCTCTCTCTCTCTCTCTCTCTCTCTCCCCCCTCCACCCCCCCACATCTCCTTTTGGGCATTGTGGTTTACAATGCAGATACCGAAAGGTTCTCATGCATATCCCTTTACCTACTTTCAACACTCAGTTCCTGTCCCAAGTGATCATTTCCTACTATTATTGTCACTCTCTGTCCTCACGGCCCTCTGCCCCACACACACTTGCGGTGGCTTCCAACCATTGACCCGTCCTCCTGGCCCCCGTTTTCCCTGGCCTTGGATCTCAGTCTCATCCTGCTTGATTTTAGTTTTGCAAGTAACACTGTCCTCCCGTTGTTCATCGATTTGCTCGGGTGGGCACAGTAATATCTCCACTGTGAGATTTGTTGTTACTGTGTCTGGCATATCGAATACGCCACGGGGAGCTTGCCAGGCTCTGCCGTGCGGGCGAGATGCTCTCGGTAGCTTGCCGGGCTCTCCGAGAGGGGCGGAGGAATCGAACGCGGCTTGGCCAGGCTGTCTGCGCGCAAGGCAAACGCCTTATTCGGAGGCTTTTAGGAAGGGGAAGGAGGGAGCGAAAGTGAGAGAGTAAACACATTCAGGAGAGGACGCGGCCTTCTCCAAAGGCAGACTTCCCAGCGTTAGAGACGAGGGAGATGCGGGTGACACCTGTGCTCGGCCCCGAGGGCACAGGAGCACAAGGGCTCGGGCAGCATATGCGCCCTAGTTTATTTTTATATCCCACAGATGAGTGCAGCCATTCTAATTCTGTCCCTCCCCTTCTGACTTATTTCACTCAGCATGATACTCTCCATGTCCATTGATTTATAAGCAAATGACATGACTTCCCTTTTTTAACGGCTGCGTAGTATTCCGCTGTGCAGCCGTACCATAGCTTCTTTATCCAGTCTTCTGTTCTTGGGCTCTCGGGTTGTTTCCAGATTCTGGCTGTTGTGAGGAGTGTGGTAAAACAGCTCATGGGACCCCAGGACGCAGGGGCAGGCTGGCTTCTGACCGCTGGCTCCTCCGCTTGGTCCCTCCAACCGGACGTGATTCTCCCCCTGCGCTGGTATACAGGGTGTCAGCAGGAATCAGCTGAAACGGGGGCCAGAAGAACCCAGCAGT